GTGCCGTCGGTTCGAAGTGGCTCGCCGGAAAATTGGAGAAGATAACCGGATTTTGACCAATTTTTTCTAGATCCACAAATTTTGACCGTGAAATTGACGGTCTTCCCGGATGAGTTTTTGCATGAAACTTTAAGGGTAGAACGAGCACGACGAGTTCTACACGATGGTGTAAGAATTTTTTCAATCGGAGAACTTTCATCGGCGGCCGGTGGCGGAGGTGGCGGCGGCCGGCGGCAACAAAGAAAAATCTCTGTGGATTCGTCTCGACGAGAGGATTTCAATAGTACCCTCAGATTTTTGATAGCCCTCACGGATTGCCGGAAAAATCGATTTGAAGATCGAGAGTTGACCGGAATAACTTAGATCTAGATACTTTGACCGTAAAATTGACGGCCTTCTCGGAAGAAATTTTGAATGAAATTTTAAGGGTCGAACCACCTCGAGACGATCTATCCGATGATGTAAACAATTTTTCCATCCGAGCACTTTGGCCGGCGGCCGGCGGCCGGCGGCGGCGATGGTGGCGGCGGCCGACAGAGGCGAAGGAGATTTGCTGGAATTTTGAGTTGGGACTCCGTTTGGCTTTTTAAACGGGTCGCCACAGACGGCGCCAATGAAGTGAATAAGATTTCACCCGGGCTCCTTCAACTCGAACGGCCTCCGTACCTACAAGAACCCAACGCCGGGAGGGGTCCCAGCGTCGGGCCTCCGACGCTCAAGTCAGAATCACTCCAAATCTCAAGTGTAGTAATGAATGTAGAGAGCCTGAGTGAATGGGATACCTTAGCCCCTTTTATAGGGGGAATGTACCTTGGGCTTGTCCAATAGCATCATGCCACGTGTTTTAGTCATGTGTAGGCTTATTCTTCAATATATTCCCTTTTTATCCATTAAAACCGGTCCAGTATAATATCCTATATCACATTTGTCTTTGAGTTGAAGGATCTTTGTTTATCTCTTTATTAATCGAGACGATGTATTTATTTTTATTAATGAGATGATTCATGCTATCCATTCTTAGTGTTTATAAATTATAAATATTTGATCAGTCAGTTCTGTTGCGTCAAATATTTATAGTTTAATTGCTAGATTTGATATCCTAATACGTAATTGTTATTGTTATTGTTTTTTTAGTTATAAACTAGGGATCTTGCATATCTATGGTAGTGTGAACATAAGTTAAATAGTCCGAACATGCGCTTCTGTTGCTTAGACTAATATATTTTTCTAGAAATAATTCTTGCTAGTGAATAAATCTAGAGACCTAATTCTGGGTTGTCCACTAATTACGTTGGCCGAAGAGATTATTTCCATTGAATATTCAGTAATGAAAAATTTGGTCAACAAAGTTTATTATTAATTAGGGTTGGTAATGCACTAAAAATTTAAAGAAGACTTTAAAATTAATTAATAGTTGACTTAGATTGGGTTATAACTGAACCGAGAACTTAATTTCTTTTTTATTATTATTATTTTCTTATTAGTTGTTCTTAGTTATTATATATTTTTTTTTTTATAAAATAAACCCTACATCTTTATTTCTTTCTTATTTTATTTCAACTAATAGGAAATTTATCACGATTTAATTTCTATTCATTGTGGGATGGAACCTTACTGGACACTACTACTAGTTAATGGAGGTTTGTTGAGGAAAAAAGATATAAATATAATTGATATGGGATAACCGCACTTGGTCGACTGGAGCGAAGAAGAAACCAAACCGAACTGGCATGACCGCCGGGTCAAAGGGGAAGAGACGATCGTTCGGGTCGGAGGACTCTCTGGTCGAGGAAAGTACCAGAACTTAGGAGATATCGAGAGGTCGAGTGGAGGCTTTCAAGGTGAGTGGCCGAGGGGCAAAGGAGAGGGGGATCTGGTAGAACGGTCGACCAGATGGACAAGATAGTAAAGCTGATGAGAGTCTGCGATCAGACCACTTAATGTGAAGAACTCAGAAATAAAAAAGAATCTTAGGGGAATTAAACCCTCCACATGGGTAAAACCATGTGGCACCACTTGAGTGGTCCACGCCTCATAACCGTTTCTGACAACACAAGAGCTCTGACAGTTTTGACTACGGAGGCAGACCACATGCTCACTGGTGGAGAGCTTGTTGAATTTTCGAAGTACGAACCCAGCGTACGCGCAGCGGAATTTTTAAATTTTCATACCAACGACGAAGATCCAGCTATAACTATTCGATATGATCCTAGTCGCGTGAATGATTAACGAAAACTTACAGTTGTTCGTCTATGTCATCGACTATGGTATCCATGCAATTCAGTTTTTCGGTGCACGATCTAACGCCAATGAATCCCTTCCGGTGAAGAAGCAAGGAATCCTCGATCCAGAAAGCTAGAGACTGTTTTATTTTACGATGTGTCTCTCTTCTTCTCTTATGATCTAAAGATTACAATGAGATAATGATCTATTTATAACTAGGTCAAACCTAATTATTTGGGTGATGAAGACGGAAACTTTTGGCACAACGTTCCAACATTTTGGAGATCTTCGGTGGGACAACCTCAATTCTTTGTTTAATCAAGTGTTTCATGCTGTTCAAAACCCATAACATATAATTGATGGCTAGTCTAACAATAAAAATGTAGTTCCCCTTCGTCTGAGCAAACAATAATTATTGTAGGTTTTTCGATGTCGCATACATGTACAACAAGAATCATATTAATATGATTATGTAATCTTTATGGAAATTCGACTCACCCTTGAAAGGGTCCCAACAGCACGTCGGATGAGTTATTGATTCTCCTTTCATGTATCTCTTTCTAATGTCTTTATGTTGTTGCCATACTAAGTTTGTTATTATTTATTCTTTATCTATATTTCATGTTTATTACTATGTTTACATCATCTTCATTACTCTTATTGTATTGAATTTCACACTATGACAACATTCTTTTGGTAATAGAATGCTTGGGGCCTTGAAAGCGGACGTTTGCAATAATTTTCCTTTGCTAGATAAATTTTTATAATGGTATATTTATAACATGTGCTTACCATATTGATGTTAATAATATCAATTATTTCTTTCTATGTATATGCGTTGTGCAGGATCCATTATGATGAGATGATGTCTTACCTAGTACACGAGGTTTGATTAAATTCATTACAATAAAAATATAGCATGCATGGAAATTACATCCCAAGATAAAAAATAGCAGGAAATTCGTAATTCGACAAACTCACCCTTTTTGAAGAGTAAAATTTTTCATGCAACATCTATGCATGAATAATATAGATATGATTCCGGCTGCGACCTTCAGACTAGCAACAAACAAAATATATGACATGTTATATACTATCGTCCAATTAATGGGCAATGCCGAGTTTAAAATATTTAATAACTAGCCATGCAAATAGGCATAACAAGACAATTGTTTCTACAAATATGAAGGGTTTTACTAAATAACTCCAAGTCAATACAATATGCACAGTAACTTTCAGTTTCACTTCCATTGGGTCGACATGAGCTAGATAAAGTTGAATAGGATTGTGTTTAGTGTTGCCTTCATTCTCTTCATCTCTAATGCATTACTGTTAAGTGCAAAAAATAAGTGCCATGTCGTTATTGCAGAATGTCTTCATATTTATGTCTTTAATGGGTACTGTTATGATCTAATTTTGTGTGACGTGACTTCATAGTAGTCAAACCCACTGTTTAAAGTCAGAAAGTGCATTCGATGGTATGACTCAGAAAAATCTATAGATTGGTGGGAAAATTAAAGAAGAGGAAAAAATCGCGGCAAAAAAAGAAGGAACACTCGCGGTATGAGTCTTCAAATGTTTAAAATCCAGATCTGAGTCTCCAAGATTGAGTCTCCAAATATGTTTAAAATCAAGATTTGAGGATAATATGATGGTTATCATTTAATATTCTCAACATGTTGTATTTAAGTGGAACAGTTTTGGTATGGAGCCATCGGATGGCTCGACTTATAGACCATCGACACTGTGTATTGACATGTGTCCTACAATAAATACAATTTGGATAGGTGCCAATACATTAAGTGGTGGATGACTCCATAAGAAAACTATCCGATGGCTCCATAGAACTTTTGTTTAGTGGAATAACAAACTCCAAGTTTTAAGTATATATTTAGGAGAGTCATCTAGATATTGATGCTACTAAAAAACTCGTTCAATCTATTAAAATTTTAAAAATGTCATTCAATCTGTTAAAATTGTAAAAATCAGTTTAACATGAAACTAAAAGACTCTCAATCTATTAAAATTTTAAAAATCAGTTTAACATGAATATTTTTTAAAAAATAAATACCCTCGTCAATAAGAATGAAAGAAAGTGTTTGGCTGTTGCTATTCTTACTGTCAACATTAGTGTTAAAGGGATCAATTATTCAATTATGTACAAGCACGTGGCAGGAACATATTACCATTCAAATTCATAAACTGGAGATGCTATAAGCTAACCCGATTAATTAGTTGATAGTAATAAAATTTCCTAATTAGTAAATTTTACCATTCAAATTATAAGGTGGAGATGTTCTAAGCTAATCCGATTAATTAGTTGATAGTAATAAAATTTCCTAATTAGTAAATTTTGAATAGTTTTACCGTATTTCAATTTGGTACTTGGAACGTGGGCAGACGCATGAGCTAAACAGTTTGAAATTAATGCCCACAAATCCAAACATGCACTTGGGGTAGGGTTCCCTATCGTCAGATTTAGGGCTCCAACGACAACCCCAAACCTCACCGTTTCAAGGGGAAATCGAGCGGCCATATTTCTGCCACGTTATCACCTTATATTACAATTTTGCCCCCGAAATTCACTTTTGCCCGTTCATTTCGCCCTAATATTTCTAATTTTCCAGATACAAAAAGACAGTATTGGGTCTGGAATTAAAAAGCAAAGGGAAAATGGGGAAAAACAGTGAATCAATTTAGGGCTTCAAGTCATTGCTGATATTTTTCCTCATCCCCTTTTTCTAACTTCTCTCGAATTAAAAATCAATACCATTCTCATGCACGATCTTCACTTCTCCAATGGCGCCTTCTGCTTGATTGTGATCCGAGGTGTGTACGCTTTTGCATGTACTTCATGTGTGTTAATGAGTTTTATTCACCATTGTTACTATCGAACCCGTTTTCTTTCCGATAAGTGGGCTTCTTTCCTTTCTGGCGTCTGATAACGACTTGGTGGCCTTTTGATGATCAATTGTTGTTTCCTGGGTGTGTTTTTGTGCTTGGCGGATCTTCATGGAACATGAGATCAAAAGGAACCATGTTTGAGTGATTGGATCGAGAATTTGTTCATGGAAAGTAGCAGAAAGAAGTCTGGTGGTGTTGAAATTCCCAAGAGAAAGCGTTCTTTGGATCTAAAGGGTGACTGTGAATCTCAATTTTCCAAGCCGGGAGTGAATAAGAGGAAAGTTTCCAGTGAACATGATCAGGTAGACGTTAATAAGAAGAAGAGGAAGATCCCTAAGGAGGTTCCTTTGAGTTCTTTTCTGTCTGATGCTAAAAAATTTAGGAAAAAGGATGGTGGGAGTGGCTCGAAAATGGAGCTGGGTTCCAGAGAGAAATCAGGTGCCAAGCTCAAATCACTGCACAATGCCTCATTACCTTTGGGAGATAATGGGAATTCATTTCACATCCCTAAGCGGCCACGTGGTTCAGTAGGGCGGAAAAGGCCTGAAAGTGATCAAGGATCTGAGTCACTCAAACTTTCCAGTTCCGTTGATTGTGTGGGATCACTTGAGGGAGCGACTAAATCAAATAATAAGGTTGGCTCTGATGTCCAATCGGTTAGGCGGACTACCCCTTTTGTAAGCAACGGTGACATGTTGAACTCAAGATTAGCCGGTTCAAATGCTAAACGCAAGAAGAAGGCTGTTTCCAAATCCACCGAGGACTCCAATAGTTCAAATGTGAGACTGAATCAGAAGGCGGGATATGATAGTGTCAACAAGAAAAGAGATGAGCATTTAGTGAATCAGAAGGCGGGATATGATAGTGTCAACAAGAAACGAGATGAGCATTTAGTGAAGCAAGAAAATCGTGTTGTAAATAATGTAGATGCGTCTAGGAAGAAAAAAGACTTAGACGTCAGTATGGATCGTGTTGATGCCTCAGTTAAGGAACCTGTACCTGCAGCACGTAGTTCGGTCTCAAATAGTCTCTCCACCAATGCCCTGGATGATGAGGACGATGAAGATGATGAGGAGAACCTTGAACAGAATGCAGCTAGGATGCTTTCTTCTAGATTTGACCCTAGTTGCACTGGTTACTCATCAAAGGGAAAATCTTCAGCATGTCAAACGGCTAATGAATTGTTAGGTAACTCGATCAGTCCAAATGTGGAGTCTGTTGCTGGTGATGATAACATGAGATCACTTAGACCCAAAAGAGGAGATGGCGGCAAGGTATTGTCAAAGAAGCGCCGACATTTCTATGAGGTCCTCGGCCAGGATGTGGACCCTTACTGGGTTTTGAAACGGAGGATCAAAATATTTTGGCCATTGGATGACTGTTGGTATGAGGGCATTGTGAACAATTACCGCACTACAGAAAAGCTTCATCACATAAAGTACGATGATAGGGATGAAGAGTGGGTTAATCTTGAAGAGGAGAAATTTAAGCTCTTGCTTCTACGTAGTGAGATTCCGGGAAAAGCTAAATCTCAAAACCAATTTTCTAGGGACAAAGATTTAAACAAAGGACAATTAGTTACTCGGGCAGATGATGAAAGCAGCATAGGGAACTCTCTTGATTCAGAACCTATTGCATTGTGGCTGGCCAGTCAATCTCAACGTGTGAAGGCTTTGCCCAAGTCCCTGAAAAGACTAAAAACATCAGAATGTGACTTTCCTTTTGTCTCATCATTGGCATCTGAGAAAGCTGACATCTGGAATGATGATATGCATGGTTCAGAAATTACTGGAAATAGAACGAATTGTGAGTGTGCATCAGCAGATAGTTCACTCGGTGACAAATCTCTGTCGGGAATTATGTCAAAAAGTGACAAGCAATTGGTTTATGTCAGGAAGAAGAATCAGAAGAAATTTGCAGGAAGTAGTTCTGTGCTTAGAGATGCCAAAATATGTAATGGTGCTCAAGAGCCTGCTACTCCTCTTGCACCTGATGCCGTTTACTTGCAGACTAGTAAATTGGATAGGTTGAATTGTTGTGGGCATGTCAACTCTGACAATGAAGTTTCCTCGTTTGATGATAAAGACAAACTTGATTTGTATAATACCTTGCTGGAGCCTAAAGAACCTAGAATCTGGATATGTGTACCCTTATTATCATATACAGAGTTTTCATGTAGGAGAAATTATTTTTGGGTGTTTCATGACATATTCTGGCTTCAACATGGAGTGATCGTGACTACCTTTTCTTCTGTTTTCTTTGAGATGGTCCTCATAGATAGTAATCTTGACTTGAGAGTTCTCTTTTATGAAGGCTGCCTGAAACAAGCTTTAGCCATTGTTTTCGAAATTTTGAGGTTCTTGGATCAATATGATGAACAGTGGAATGGAGACAAGAAAATACCTGCCATGTCAATTATGTTCCAAATGTCCAGTGTTCATAATCGACGGAAGCAGCATGTTTCTGCAGCTTATTGTTTCTCCAAACTCCAGAGATCAATGTGGCTTTGCCTGGAATCAAAGATTCTGCAACAGTGTCTTCCTGTTAAACAGTTACGCCTTTCTGAGTGCACAGATGACAACATAAAGGAACTTGAATGTCGGATTCTTCAGCCTCTCGAATCTCATGTTGGTTTCAAGCTCCCATCAAGTGAGGTATATACCTTTTATTTAACAGATTTCCGTGATGAATGTTTTTTTGGGACACTCCATGTAATGTTTGTTTCTAAGATAACAGCTTCACATTCGGAGGAAATTACTACATAATTGACGTGACTTTACCAAGTCATCAACTAGTTTGGCAGTTCAAAACAAATTCTTCAGCATCACCTTTCGAAATTTAAATAAACCTTTTATTCCCAAAACTCCTCTTGTTTAATTTTGGTTCTTGCTTTTGTTTTCTTTTTCTTTTATTGGTGGTGGTTCGTTGCCGTTGGGGATCATTTGTCTGATCAGTTTTTGTTGATCGCTTATCGATTTTGTGGACCAGCATTTTTCTTTTACATAATCATGTTATAGCATAAGAATTGAATATAAGAGCATCATTTGATTTTTGTGATTCGTTCCTTTCCATTTCTTGATTTCATTTTATTATTATTAATTTTTATGTCGACAATTGAGATCTCCACTTCTTTCTCAACCAGGATTACAAGAAGAAACTCGAGCGGCACCCAGAAGCCTGTAATGCAAGGATGAGTAAGTCTCCTCTCAGCTTAGCTGCAGAGCCTGAAAAAGTTTCTCAATCACCAATGTCTGTTCTCAACTTGCATCTCCGTTCACTCATGCAACAAAGTGTTGCCCGTGAGGATCTCCAACTTCAGGGTGTTGCTTTCTCAAAAGAGTCCGCTGAACAAAAATGTGACCAATCTATTGCAAAGCGCTCTCAATTTAAGCCCACCTCAGTCACTGTTCAAGATATCCCTTCTGAACATGAAATCAGACAATCAGATGTGGATGGCTTTGTTCTAAACACCAGCACTACAGGATCCAAAAGTTTGTACAGACGTGGTAAAAGCAGCAGAATATCTTCTCCTTTTGGATTTAACTCATCTGTCTGGTCTAATGGTAAGCCAAACTTCATGCCTGGACCCAAAAAGCCGCGCACTCAGGTTCAATACACATTGCCTTGGGAGGATAATGATGTCAGCAGAAAGCTAGAAACGCCCAGCTCACGGTCTATACCTTGCAAGAGGATTAGGAAAGCTAGCCAGAGGACGCCTGATGTTACAGGGAATAATGAGAAAAAGTTGGAATTGCTGTCGTGCTCTGTGAATGTTCTAGTCACCAATGAAGACAGAGGATGGAGAGAATGTGGGGCCCATGTTTGCTTGGAAGTTGCGAGTGACAATGAATGGAGATTGGCGGTCAAGTTCTCTGAGGTCACGAGATTCTTGTACAAAATCAAACATATTCTGCAGCCTGGAACAGCCAACCGCTATTCGCATGCTATGATGTGGAAAGGGGAAAAGGATTGGGTGCTCGAATTTCCTGATCGGGGCCAGTGGACGCTTTTCAAGGAGATGTATGAAGAGTGTTACAATCGGAATATTCGTGCGGCCTCCATGAGGAACATTCCAATTCCTGGGGTCCGTTTGGTTGACGAGTACGATGATTTTGGGCACAAGGCTCCATTTATCCGGAATCCAACAGGGTATTTTCGGCAGGTTCAGTCTGATGCTGAGCTGGCGATGGACCCTTCCCATGTTTTCTATGACATGGATAGTGATGATGAGCGGTGGTTGATGGAACAGAAAAAACGTGCCGACAAACATAAATGTGATCACTTATCTGATAACTTCTTTGAAATGGCAATGGACATGTTTGAAAAATTTGCATATTCCCAGCATCGTGAAGACTTCACTGATGCCGAAGTTGAGGAGCTAGCTTCTGGGGTAGGATCCATCGAAGCTGCTAAACTCATTTATCAACACTGGAGAAGGAAACGGGAAAAAATGTGCATGCCTTTGATAAGACATTTCCAGGTATTATTTCTGTGATTATCGTCTTGGAGTTTATCATGAACACACTCTGTTTATAAGTTTGATGAGTCATTTGAGAAGAAGTTTTAATAATCTTCTTCCCTGCCTGTTTTTCAAGTAAGGGATTTGTGTGTCCCACTTTATTGCTCGTTTGCCGCCAAAAACTACATATATGGCCTGACTAGTCAGTTTATATTTGTTATTATTATCCTGTGTGAAGTTGGTAAGGGTGTTAATTTTCATTCTATAAAGAGGAAAATCTGTGACCTATTTGTGGAAATTTTCGCATTGTTGAATATGGGCTGGTCACTCCCAATAAGGCAATAAGTATTCCTAGCTAAGCTTAAGGGATGGCTGAACTTGTGTTCTATAGTTGATTTTTATTAAAAAAAGAATGACTGATTTATGATATTGTGTGTGGCAATGATGCTCTATTTTATATTTTTCACGATATAATGATTATTGCATTTTGGACATAGGTGTGCTAAACGAATGCTGATGACCAATAAAATAACTTTACTCAAGAACTTGTTAAAATTGATCTCCTTTCTATCTTAAATATTGCTTTTAGTGCATTTGCATTGTACTTTTCTGAAGGAATACATTTTATTTTTACTGCATGACGCTTTTAGATATCTCAGCAGTTAAGTTATAAGTATACTATTATACGGATCTGCTCCCCTACCCACAGTGGGCAGAGAATTAATATGCCCACTGCTTATGTGGCATGTACACATTGAGCATAAGCAGTGGGAGAGAATTAATATGCCCAATGTGTACATGCCACATAAGCGGTGGGCATATTAATTCCTTGTCACCGTGGGTAGGGGAGCAGATCCCTACTATTATATTGTCTTCTTCTCTATTTTGTTATTCCTATATTTATATGTAAAATTTAAAGTTAACACCTTTTTGTTTCCAGCCGCCTCCTTGGGAGAGGTATCAAAGACAGATGAAGGAGTGGGAACAAAATATTGCCCGTGGAAATTGTGCAGATAAAGAAAAACCACTGATGTTTGCTTTCTGCTTGAAGCCACGTGGCTTGGATGTACCTAACAGAGGCTCAAAACAACGATCTCACAGAAAATTTACAGTTTCTGGAAAACATCATGCTTTCTCAGGGGATCGGGACAGTCCACTTATTTATGGTATTTTTTCTTTCCTTAATTGAATAAAACGTGTCAATTTTTTTCTTTACATTTTTAGTAAGTAATAATAAAGTTGCCCATGAGGACCTAAATTCTCCAGTGATCATTCAAAATTACAAATATTTCTTTCAAGTTCCTATCAATGTGTGGTTTATAAAAGATGAAGCATATGTCAAGGTGGTGTCTGCAACTCTGGAATATTTGTTTGATGAACCTCTAGATTTAGGTTAACCTCATGGGAATTTGTTTGATTAACCTGTAAATGTAATGTTATTATTCCTTTTTTCCTTATCTGAGGTCAAATTCACATTTGCAGGGAGAAGACCACATGGGCATTATGCTTTTGGAGGCAAAATGTTGTATACGAACAACGTACATGAACTTTCTGATGTTCCACTCTGCCCTTCAGCAAGGATGTGGTCCCCACAAAACGCGCATTTATGGAAAGTTAACCGTAAGGTTTCTAAGAATAAGCACAAAAGGCTTATATCACAACTTTATTCTCACGGCCAACGGGAGATTCCCCATAATGAGACAACAATAGGGCACAAAAATGGAGTCCGGCGATGGGACTTAAAGCAGCTCGAGATTTATGATCTCAATGAGTTTCACTTACGTGATGCGTTGGGTGCTGCTGAGCATACATGCAAAATGGCTAAGTTCAAAAGAGACAAGGCACAAAGTTTGTTTTACAAAGCAGATTTAGCTATCCACAAAGCTCTATCCTCTTTGATGAATGCAGAGGCAATGAGAGATTCGTTTGGAAACTTGAATGAAGTGAATTAGGGACAATTGTTGGGTGTTGTCTGTGAATATTTTGAGGGAAATAGCATAATGGCCATGTATTAGCTGAAATGAGTTTTGGGTAACTTTAAAATAACAGCCTGTATCCTTTGTCCGCTTTATATATAGTGTTATATTCAGGATGTGAGCTTATTGGCGTTTTGGAGTGAGCTGCTATCATAGTTTTTGTTTGAATTATTGGTTTTCTGTGGAATTTTTGTTGTTTGTTGCTGTATATGATATTCTTGCTTGTCTGTTTTGTTTTCTCTACTTTAACAATTAGCCTTTTAAGTATACTGAAAAATAGTAATGGGTTCCTATGATGAGATATTTTGCCCTTATCTGAGTCACATTATGGATTTAGAGCTCATCAGTCATCGGGGCTTTGTGTTGTAGTATGTGTAGAACTACGAACAAACAATGGAGAGTTTTTGAAAAATTGGAGGTAGGAGTAGGAGTGAAGAATGGAGTGGTGTGCGATTGAGTTGGTTTTTACTGTTAATAGTATTGTTACCTGTGCACTGGATTATGTTTAACAAAATATTATCATATCCAGGAAAAAAAAAGCAGAAATATAAAAAAAAAAAAGTACATCAAAGAACAAAACATAAAACATATTATCATATCAAGGAAAAAAAAAGCAGAAATATTAAACAAAATAAAATTACATCAAAGAACAAAACATAATTGTATGGATAAAGACAATATATCTAATATCCTATATACAATATTTTTCGTATATTATTTTATCATCATAAATCAATATTCTAATATTTTTCATATTTGTAACTTGAGAAATAATGCCACTTGAGAAGATGGGATGAGTGCCCTTTTCTTCCAAAATGCCTGGGACAATATCATGGTTCATCTTTGTGATGCAATTCTGAAAGGTGTGGTAAAAACCCCAAAGGAATCAACCACACAATCATAACCCTGATCCCCAAAAAAGGCTAATCCCATCAATGTTTCTGACTTTAGGCCAATCAACTTGTGCAATGTCATTTACAAGCTCATTGCTAAGATCTTAGCCAACAGGATTAAGAATGTCCTTCACTACTGCATCTCTTATGCTCAATCTGCCTTTGTTCCCGAAAGACAGATCTTAGATAATGCTATCATAGCTAATGAGTGCATCCATTATATTAATAGCCGGAGGGCTGGGAAGGATTGCTATATGGTTGTCGAGCTTGACATGTTCAAAGCTTATGATACAGTGGAGTGGGGCTTTCTTGCTAGGGTTTGTTCAAAAATAGAATTTTGTGATCAATTTGTGTCCTGGTTACTTGCTTGTGTTTGTTCTTCCACATTTTTCTTCATTTAATGGTCAAACTGCTGGTTTTGTGCTTCCTAGTGGGAACCAAACAAGGTGATGTCACCCTATCTATTCTTAATTGTTACCGAGACATTCTCTAATCTGATTACTCAAGCTAAAATACCTCCTTGTTCAGAGGGTCAAGGGTTGGTAGGTATGCTCCTGTGGTTTCTTACCTTTTTTTTTTTTGCAGATGACTCAATCTTGTTTTGCAAAGCTGATGCTTCTCATGCTCTTACTATTATCAAAATCCTCAGCGATCGAGTATGGTTCAGCCTCAGGTCGGTAAACTTTGTAAAGTCTTCTATTTTCTTCTGTACAAACACTTCCCATGACATTCTTTATGAGGTTAGTGCCATCCTGCAAGGAATCACTCATGTTAGAACTGCCCTTAGGGATAGATAGATCCAAGAGAGAGTCATTCCACTTTGTTAGTGAACCTGTCAAAAACAGAACCTCTAACTGGAAAAATGTATACTTGAGTGAAGTAGGGAGAATGGTATTAATTAAATTAATAATTGGTGCATTACCTACTTACGTTATGTCCTGCGAAAGAATTCTTTTCTCTGTTTGTTATGAGATTTCCAGGAAAACAACAAACTTTTGGTGGGGAAAAAAAAGTGGGTAGGAGTAAGATTCATTGGGCTAGATGGGATAGGTTGACTGCGTCAAAAGAGGAGAGGGTAAAAGCTTTTAATGAAGCTTTAACTGTTAAGCAACTCTGTAGGGTAATTACTAAGCCTAACCTCCTGATGAGTAGAGTCATTAAAGGGAGATATTTTGCCAATAAAAAATTGTTTGAGGTGAAGGCTAGAAATGGGGGCTCTTGGTTAAGGAAAAGTTGGTTAACAACTAGGGGCTCCTTGAGATTAGGGATTAGGTCCAAGATTGGGGATGGTAGATCTGTGGACATTTGGAATTCTCCTTGGATCCCAAATGTTAAGTCATTTGAACCCCTCTGCCATTTCCCTGGGGTCAGAGAGAGATTAAAAAAAAGTGAGTGACTTTTTGTACAGTGAGGGTGTGGGCTGGGATAGAGACCTTATTCTGCAAACTTTTGATCCTAAAGCTACCCTTAAAATTTTGAAGATTCCCCTCTCTTCTCAGGGGATGAAGTACATATTAGTTTGGCATTGGGGTAGTTCAAGGAGGTTTTCTGTGAAGTCAGTGTATGAGGTAATTAGATCTGAGACTAGCAAGTACAAGAGAGAGGTGAAGTGTTGTAGTTATCAGGACCAGATTCATCAGATGTGAAAGAGAACGTAGAAACTCCCTACCAGTCAAAGAATTAAAAATTTTATATGGGAATGCTGGTATGGGTTTCTGAGTACTAAATGTCAACTACTTAATAAAGGCATAAGAGGTGAAGTGATATGTGATCTCTGTGTAGAGGAGGAAGAGGATGTAGATCACATATTCTTTAGATGTTGAAGAGTAAAAGCCTGTTGGAGGTTGCTTGGCGTTAGCTGGGACAAAATTAAGGAAGAGGGGATTGGGCTTAACATTTGGTGGGTTGCGATCTGAAACATTAGAGGGGCTAAAGCCATCATAGATAGAATAAGTCTCTCAACTTATCTTATATGGTGACTTTGGAAAATTAGGAATCAATGGGTGTTTGAACAGAGGTGGTGGAATGTGGAGAGGGTAGTAAATTGTGCTAGAGAGGATTGATTAGAAGTCATGTGTGTGTTGTGCTCTAAAGAAAGAGAGAAAGGGAAAGAGTAGAGTTGAGGGTTCAGTTAGGGAGGTGGTCTTTGGGAATGAAGAAAACTTCATCATAACAGTAAGCCTTTGGTCAATAGGGAAGGGCTTGTTGGGGTTTGGGGGAAGAGTGTGAATGGATTAGAAGACTAAACAGGTGTGGGTATCATCTAGAGACTTCTCCGAGAGTTCAGTTGAGGCCAACACCATAGCAGTCTTGTGGGTTTTGAGGAAGGCAACAAAGCATCATATGAAGAACATCACCTACATCCTACACAACAAGAAGGCTGTTGACACCCTCAACAAGTGGAAGAAGCATGTGGATTTTGATGGGGATGAGGTCTTAACGTTTCTTTCTCTTTGTTATCAATTTAGCTCTTGTTCGTTTTTCTTTATTAATTTGGTTTGTAAGGTTCGTTTCGACATGCCCATGAAGGCCCTCGAAGGGAACATTAGTTGATTTTATGTGCTTGGATGTTGCTCACATTGTGTTGTAACGTCTGAACATTGTACCCAATTGGGTACGAGTGGCTTCTTTTGAGTTAATAGGTTTTATTGTTTCTCGTTGGAAAAAAAAAAATTGAGAAACAATACCATAGAGTCCATTTCTTTTAATGTATGACATGCGAACCAGAGCAAGCATTTACAGGAAGCCTAATGGTCTCATTTCATAGACCATGCTTGGCTCGATGTAATTGACCGCTCCATGAGTTAGTGCTTTTAAAAGTATCCATTGAATATCTCTTTCAGTGCCCGCTTTTTGTCCCTGACTTGTGGACCTGAAATGAGGTAGCCTAGCTCATCAACTACTGATAACTTGGAACACCAATCTGCTTAGCAACCTATGAGGCAAGGAAAGATTGACCGTAGGGGGCATTCCTCTTTTTTTTTTCTTTTTTTTTTTCATGACATAATATATCTTCAAATGAAGCTTGGCCCATTTGTCATGTAATTTTTTTATGTATTGTAAATGTTCAAACTCATAGTTTTAATTTTGTGCCAAACACTTATATTATTACATTTTCTTAACACAATAGTAATGGAATTATTTGAACCACATACACTTGCACTGCTTTTTTTTTCTCTCTCATCCAAAATCCCAAATCAAAGCTCAGAAACCCTATTGCGCTCGTGTGCCTCCTCATTATTGATGCTCCGCCCACCGCAGAGTTGACTGTCTACGAGGCGACCGTCGACTTCTCCGATGCATTTCAAGACTTCATTTGGCACAACGCTGCTCCTTTCAAAGGCGTGGTGGGCATTCCGACGATGCGGTGGCTAAGGCGTGATTGCTGGGCTTTTCGCTTTTGTGGTGTGGGGGTCGCTCCGACGCCTGCTCTCTCCCTGTTGTTTGTCCCATTTTTGTTGCGTTTTTCGTGTTTATTTTACATTTATTTTTCTCCCGTTTTAGGTCGTTTCTTTTGTTTTTAGCCCGTTTCGTGTTTTATTATGTGTTTTCCTTCATTTTGAGTCTTTAGGTGTTTTTCGTTTGTTTTTCCGGTTTTGTTTTGTGTTTTGTCATTTTTGGTGTGTAGGTTGGGAACTTTGGGAGAATTTTCTATTCAGGAAAAGTTGGCGATGCGTAGGAATAAACGGCGCTCAATTCCGAGTTCGAACGAGCTCAAACGAGGCCAAAACGTGAAGAGGCGCAGTGCAGTCCAAGTCACGAGCCGCGACCGTGCCCGCGACCCGCGACTAGCCCCACGCCCAGCGCGCGCGCCCCCAGCGCCCAGCATCTCGCGCCTCGCGAAAAAAACAGAGACGCGCAGCCCCAGCGACCCAGGCGACTCGCGATTCGCGAGTCAACTCGCGAGTCGCGACTAGGCCGACCCTGTTTTTATTTTTGCTCGTTTTTACTCGTTTTAGCTCCGTTTTTCGCGCACTATATATCAAAATGATCCTTAGACTCGTGGGAACAATCCTCAATATTCTTTTTTCACTTTCTCCTTCTCTAAAAACTCAGATTTAGATCGTTCTTTTTGCTCAATTCTCTCTTTACTTTTTCGAATTTAGCTTTGTCATTGGATTCGAATATTGGGTTTCTATTAATCGTAAGTTTTTCTTTTCATCTAATTCATGAATATGATGGCTTTGATTGTTGAGATTGTTGATTTTGAATTCCATATGAGTGGCTAAATCGTTTCGCTAGGGATAGGGGATGGTGATGATGTTTAGAATTTAATTGTGATTATCATGCTTGTTGATCGCTCAATTTATGCGAGTTGTTCTTAACTAGGGTTTATAATTCTCGTACATTGAATGTTGATTATTGTCGAAGAGTGACACTTCGATTTGCAATTGATCTCCAATTGAATATGATTCGTTCTTGTGTGATGTGTTTAAATCCATCGAACAAGTAGATTAACAATCGTCTAGGATAATTTAATCAACTCTTAGAACCGAAAGGGGAGGAGTTGATCGATCTAGGCTCGCATGAAATAGACTTGTTCGGAAACGTATTGTCTATGTGTTGTGTGATTTGTTTGATTTACCGTCTATGTTATCCTCTTGTTACGAAGAGTTATTGAGGACTATCTCTAGACGTTAGGTTGCTCGAATCATTTAACCAAATGATCTTAGCTTGATATTTGCATTGGTTAGAAAATCATCATCCCCGACTCCTTATCTTTTTATCCTTTGATCTTCATCTTTGCTTTTAAGTTTTGCATTGTTTGAATTCTCTTTCGTAGTTGATAATTAAAAACCACTGTCTTGATTAGAGTGTTTAGGATTTATTTTTCTTTAATGTGTTATCAATACCATTCCTAGATTCCGAACCGCCTTTCTCAAGAGATCGACCCGGGGAACGAATCTTTCGATTCGGTACTCGATAAAAATATATTTTGCTACAACACCTGTCGTCCTTCCAGTTTTCTTGGGCTTGGGCCAATGGACTTCCTTCGAGTTGTGGCTGTTATAGTTAGCCATTGCCATGCCTGTGGTGGTTGGAGTTTCTGGTTATGCTTTTGAGTTGTGGTCCTATCTTTTTTGGGTGGAGGAGTTGCCCATCGTTAAGGATGGCTTAATTCTAGTATTTCGAGTGTTTACTGTGTTTTGTGTGTGTTTGTATTTTGTTTGGTATTTTTATTCTCCACTATTTGAGTTAGAATTCTCCACTTGTGGGAGCATATATTACTACTATCTTAGTTTGTGGGTGTGTTTAGTGTAGTAATTTCTAGGCTACAAGCGTTCTCGTTGTGTAGGCCTCTCTCTGAATTCAGTTGCATAGCTGCTTCAGTCAGCTTCTTAGTTACTTGTAAATATGTATTTTTACTGATGAATTCTGAAGAAAAATAAAACACTATTAATGCAATTATTTGTTCTAAATTACTATTTCATACATTTGTAATTATTGTTCGATGATTAGTTTTGTATTCAACTTTGTATAAATAGCTTTAAAAAAATTATGATAAAAAATTGACCCAAAAATAATTAAATATTTAACACCAAATAAATATAATTTTTAAATCAAAATTTTATTTTACTTATTTGTTTTTTTTTTTTTTTNCTTTTGTGTGTGTGTGTGTGTGCAGTTTGTTCCTTAATGGAGTTTGTACCACTTGAACACATGTGTTCTTCCAAGGGGTATGTCCAGATTTTTTGGTTCCTGTGTGACAGCTTACACTTCTCTTATAATCTTTTGAGTTTTCAATTATTAATATATTCGCTGTTTGAAAAAAAAAAAAACTAAATGATAGAAGGAGTGAAAAAATATGCGATTTAAATTTAATTTAATATGTATTACTCTATTCTCAACTATTATTTGCGATACAGTAATTTAATATATAGGGCCAATTTCTTTTACACTCTAATATATACATGCACTTTCTTTTTCATATATTCAAGAATCAAACATTCAAACCAACATCACATATTTTATGTTATGCGATATATTTTTGTATAATTTACGTCTCGCATATCCAAATTCACCGCTTAATTTACCATATGCGATAACCTTTTGCATATTCAAGAATCACATATCCAAATCGAACGCCGCATATTTTATAATTATGCGACATATTTTCGCATAATTTACGTCTCACATATCAAATCCACCGCTTAGTTTACCATATGCGATAACGTTTCGCATATTCATGAATCTCATATCCAAATCGGATGTCGCATATTTTATGTTATGCGACATATTTTCGCATAGTTTACAAACAGCATAACCAAATCCACTGTATAATTTACCATATGCGAGAAGGTTTCGAATATTCTTTTATCGCATATCCAAATAGAACGTCATTATACCGTGCATCACATGAGTCACATACTAGTTCTCCAATGAAAAGATATTTTTGTGGGTATTTGTTTCAATTTATATTTTATCAGATCACTGAAAAACTAAATTACTTTAATGTTGAATATAAAGCAATGGAGATGATCATCACTTTACAAATGCGATGCTTCAACCACTACAAATATATTCCAAGGGGAAATCCTACGGTAATATATTTCAATGAAAATTCTAACAGATATTCCAATGGTATAGTTTCTACTGGAATCATTCCAACAGAAATTTTAATGAAAATATTCCGTTGGAATGAGTTTTCCATTGGACTTTTAGATAGAATTTGATGATTCAAACGAGTACTTTTTCAACGATTTTTTACCATTGAAATATACAATTCTCGTTGGAATTTTTAATTTTCACCCAGTTAAAAAATCTACCATTGAAATCGTCAAAATCCAATGGAAATTTCAATGAAAAATCCATTACAACGGAATATTTTTATTAGAATTTCCGTTGGAATCAATTGAAATATTCTAACAGAAATAATAACATTGAATATCTATTGAATTTTCGTTGAAATTCCATTAGAATATATTCCGTTGGAATTTTTCAATCGATTATATTTCTGAGTTAAGCGAACCTAATCACAATCCAAAGACGATACAATTTGGGATAATATTTCTAATAGCAACAAAGTGAATTATTTTTTCAGACAAGTCATTTATACTGTCTACTTATCGAGAAAGGGGATAAGATAACATAAAATAATTTTACAGTTCCATAATTTTATGTGCAATATTAATTTTGGAGAAATATTGTTTAGGGAAGTTATTGTTCACCACAACATTATTTTGTACACAATATTTATTAACGGGAGCAATTCTTAATTTTTTATTATTTCTTTTTGAAAAACATTATACCCAACAAAAGCGCCGTTATTCGCTCTTGTCCACTCCGTATATGCATGAAATACTGCAAAAAGAGAACAACTGCAAATTTTGGTGTTCCTATATTTTTGCTTTTCTTTATGCTTTCTCTCTCTCAAACAAACCCACAATATGCAATCAACACACTGTTAAGGAATAAAAATTTACATATTCTTTAATATTCTGAAAATTATTTAGGTGAGTTCATCTCAATAACCTTGGATTGCACGTAATGTCTGTGCAAGTTTTCAATAAATCTATGATATTATTGAGCACCAAGTCTAAGAAAATCAACGACCCTGAGTTTTTAAATTTATAGGAGACTTGCAGCATGAATGAATTTCTAATTTATTATAATTTTTCTTTATCACCATAGTTTTTTTGTTAGCCTAAGATAAGGAAAAAATGCCTCGGCGTGTAAAGGATGATGACGAGAGAATCGAAAATATCATTCGTGGTCTTCTCAAGCAATCGGGGAATAGAAAATGCATCAACTGCAATAGTTTGGTAAGATTAATTCCACATTTGCACATTTTTTATCTATTGAGAAATTCAATAAGATATAGTTTGGTAAGATTTAAATTCCAACTTGCATTTTTTCTTTTATTCACTTGAATTGCTTTTGTACCATGTTAAGGTTTTTATAAACAAAAGTTCTTTNAAATATGATTTTTAGAAGGTTTGCTATGAAATATATGTCCGTATAAGGCTAAATTGTAAAATATAGTCAGTATCTTGTACGCAGTGGCAATAATAGCCACCATCTTTGCGAATTGGCAATATTAGCCAACAACTTTCAAAATTTCAAGATTATTACCCAAATTCAACCAAATTCGACAGATAAATTGCAACATATAGCCAATATCTGTTTACGCAATGGCAACAATAGCCATCGAATTTGGTCGGACATGGGTAATAACCCCAAAATTTTGAAAGTTGTTGGCTAATAATGCCAATTCGTAAAGATGGTGGCTAATATTGCCACCGCGTACAACATACTGACTATATTTTGCAATTAAACCGTCCGTATAAATACTAGCTCGTGACGTGCAATGTAAACTTTAAATTGTATTTACTTTCACATTCGTAGGTTAGCTAATTTCTTGTGTGAGGAATACCAGTCTTTATTCGATAAATAGCAGTTATTGTACTTTTTATTGACAATGATCAAATTAGTGAACTAAAATTGAATTTTTAATTTTTTATTAACCTAGTTATTTAACATATTCACAATTATTTCACTGAAGTTAAGTATTTAGAGCTGCAGACAATTTTTTGGTTTAATATGTATATATAATGTGTTTTGGTAAATCAGGGCCCTCAATATGTCTGCACAACATTTTGGACTTTCGTCTGCACGAATTGTAGCGGTGTACAGTAAGTTCAAATTAGAATTTTTTTTTTCATTATCTTAATTGAGTATCTTATTTTATTTTCAAAAAAAAGTCCAAATTTATAAAGTCTTCTGTATATAATCGTGTTTCTTAATAGATAATTAAATTTTGGGAATTTATAGCCGAGAATTCACACATCGGGTAAAATCAGTGTCGATGGCCAAATTCAATGAAGATGAAATTATAGCTCTTCAAGCGGGAGGAAATGAGGTCATTTTCATTATTTTCATTATTATATTTTTATCTTGCAAAAATCATATAAATCTAATTTAATAATTAAACCTCGCTTTTTATATATGTATATAATTTTTTAGCGAGCTAGGGAGATTTACTTTAAAGCTTGGGATCCACATCGTAATACTTACCCCGATGGCAGGTATAATTTATTTAAAATATATACGTTCTTGAACTACATTAATTAAAATACCATTTTAAAAAAAAAACACAATTAATCACAACTAAACAAGTTTTAATAGAAATTGATTATTTGTTTGCAGTAATCTGAATAGGCTTCGTGAGTTTGTAAAACACGTGTACATTGATCGGAAGTATGCCGGCGAAAATAAACAGCTACCCATGCCTAAATTGGTAAGATAGGCTTCTACTTGTAATTCGATGAAACCTCAAGGGCCAATAATGTAATTTGACACAACAGGACTCGTGCCCAAACCGTGGGAGATCGTTGGATCAATCCAGTCCGTTCAAAAAGAACGGTGGGATCACATTTAGGGATCTTCTAGAAGAGAGGAGTCCCCAAAGCTCAAAAAATCGTCATTTTGAAATTGTTGACGATAGATTCCGGGAAGATGGGAGCATCAAGCGGTACGATCACCGGAGCTCCGGCAAGGATCCGAGCCGATCGCCAATATCTCACGACGTTGGGTCGCTCAATTTTGAGATTTTGAGGGAGAAAAAAATCAAGGGACCACCCAAAAATACTGAGAAGAAGGATATCGATGATGAGGCCACTACGATAAGTCAAGTGAGTTCTTCTATTATCCATCTTTTCTTGTATGTATTTAATAATATTTGTTAGTTGTTATGGATTTAGGGCTTTTTTGATTTCAGGTAAGCAATTTTTTTTAGGGAAAAATTAGATAATTATTATTTTGAAAAAAAAAAAAATTGAGTTAATGAGTGGAAAAAATATTTTTGGATGGAATAATGAAATATTTTTGAAATCGTGAATGGATGGCTATAAGTTAAAAGTGTAATGAAAAGTAATATGATAATGACTGCTAGTTAAACATATAAAAGTATGTGAGTTCATGAATAAAAATATTTATTAAAAATGCGTAGTATTGACTGTTTTTATTATTTATTCTGTTCATAAGTCTTGGGGAGAAAAAGTGAGAATATATGAATGGTTAATTTTGTTAAAAAAGAAAAAAAGTATTCAATCATTGGTACAATGAAAAAAATAAAATAAAAAAATCAGTGAGAGAAAATAAGATAGAACCTAGAAATTCAATGTTAGCATAGAGAGTGTATAA